TTGTAGATGTTGGTTCTGAGTTCCAAGCTACTTCACGTTGTCTTCATGATAATTCAACAGCAGATGAGGATTATTTCCGTACAGACACTGAAGAGCAGCCAGAGGAGCTGATGCTAGTTCAACACACATTCTGGGTTCTCCTTCACGGTTCTTCTGGTTCCTCAGAGCTGCAGGACTTGATTTAAAGGTCCACAGTGAGGAACAATGAGCCGGGAGCAGAAAGCGTTGCTGAGTTCAGAGTTGCTTCGGTCTGTCTCTGCAGGTTGATCGAGTCGAGCCTCGGCAGCGTCGCCACCAAACTGAACTTCTTCATCCACAATCTGGCTCAGATGAAGTTTGCTTCGTCGGAGGATCGTCCCACGCTGGCCTTTGCTCCCAGAGTCCACACGGCGAAGAGCGACGGCCTCATCAGGAACCTCTACATCTGCAGACACATTCGCACGGCCAGCAAAGGATACGTGAGTCCAGCACTGATCAGAACCCTGAAGAACCTGCAGCTCCTCTGGTCAACACTCTGCATTTTAGATCCACACTCATGTAGTTCTGAAACTTCCACAAGTTCAGTACTCAGCTGGTTTAGATACTGTCACTTGTCTCTTCTGAGGATTTAAACCCAACCTCCTCAGAACATCTGGTTCTGTATCTGCAGAACCTTTATCTACTGACCAGAGTTCTACCTTCAGACTGTGAATGTTCCAGAGGTCCAGGTCCTTGAAGTCCACAGAGGAGGGTCCAGATTTATCACCTTAATGGACTTTTTCCATCATTTCTGAGCCTCAGAACTTCATCAGAACAGCAGATAGACACATGACATTTAGGAGGAAGAACACATCTGGGTTCTGCTAGAACCTGACACCAGATCAGTTCTACATCCATCCAGGTGCCTCAGTCTGAACACTGGACCTGGTTCTGTTCATGTCCTCTGTCAGCAGCTGGTAGCATCAGTATTATGGGATGGATCATAGTGTGAACGGCGTCATCAGAAACCAGAAACACATCCAGGATACAGAGACATGTTTCCATCACGTCTAGACAGTAAAGTGTTGGACCTGTTGTCATGTTGCTGCTCCAACAGGTTTTGTCCACAAGAACACAATCGTCACTCTCCATTAAATCTGTCCCCTGTGACGACTTCTCCTCCTCCTCCTCCTCCTCCTCCTTCTCCTTCTCCTTGGTTGTGTCATCCACTCCCTCCCTGCTCACTCTCTGGGGATCACTATGTAGTGAACTATGGAGGGAGCTCCTCGGCTACTCGAGCTATTAATGATGACGCTACGTAGCAGCGTAGCGCAAACACATCGAATTCAGTTTATTGTGTAGCGAAGAAATCAAATCAGATCCAGTTTATTGTCACCTTACTGTACATCCACAGCAGTACAGGCAGAATGAGAAAGCGCTTCTTCGGGATCCAAAAACTAAAAGCGATTAAAAAAAAAGAAGCGTTTGCACATCTGGATCAGCAGTTCAGCGTTCTGACAGCTGTTGGAATGAAGCTGTTGATCAGTCTGGAGGTTCTTCCTTTAACGCTCCAGAAACGTTTCCCTGATGGCAGCGGTTCAACAGTTGATGGGCAGGCTGTGAGGAGTCCCTGACAATGTTCAGGGTCCTGCTGGAGAAGTCCAGAGCTCACTGTCTGTCTGTCTGTCTGCATCTCCTCCAGCTGTCTGTCCGTCTGGGATGCTGTCATGGAGCCATGTTTCTGTTAAAGCAGACACACAGCAGTCCCTCCACTCTCTGAGGGTT